CTATATTTTTGTAAATATGCAAAGTGTTGTAACATTATTGTGTAAAATGCAAAGAAAGTTAATTTCATGCATGGAAACATGTGGAAGTTAAATTAACTGGTCAAAAAATTTATCCTGCAAAGCCAGAAAATTCGCAGAATGATGAGACTGGCGGCAGTAAAATCTAAAAAAAAGGAAAGACGTTGGAACTTCATTCTTTTTTTTTAAATTTATTTATAGCAAGTAGTTTGTAGAAGCAGGAAAGCTATTGAAATTATTTCTTTCAGTAGCGAGTGATTGTTAGGTTTCATGGGTTTTATAACGAATAGCCTTAATGTACATGGGAGTACAAATTCCTTATGCTAAGGGGGTGTTTGGTTCAATTTCTATAAATTATAGGAAATGTTTTCCATCCAAAATATGATTTCCTTGTATTTCTTAAAAAATTATAGGAAAAATTTTGAGAAGTCAAAAAGTAACAATTTTCTTATTTTTTATACTTTACTTGGTTGGTTCAAAACAAAAAAATGGCTCATAACTTTATAGAAAATGGGTATGAGACATGTTTTGTTGATTAAATAAGGAAGGTGTCAGATTTCCTGTTGATTTCCTCTCATTTTGAGAGAAAATTGCTTTTTGTAAAATTTGGTAGTTTTTGATATTTTATAGAAAATATTTCTATAAATTTTTGGAAAAATTGCTTCAAGGCCCCAAAAATGAAAATACAACGTGGCCCAGCCCCCTGTATTATTTTTCATGTGTATTAGCCCCAAAAAGAAAAAGTTAATGTGATTCTGCCATTTTTACAATTTTCAAGAGAATTAATTCCCAAAAAACCCCAAACTACCCTCCTCTTCTTCTTCTTCTTCTTCTTCTTCTTCTTCTTCAGATCTTCTCCTTCTCCTCTCATCTCCTCTTCCACCCTCTCTCCAACCTCGCTGGATACCTTCAACACCGCCGCCACCTCCGCCTCCCCTCGACCTCGTCGACTCCATCCTCAGTCGTAGCCCCCGCCGTCACCATCGCTACCCTTCTTCCTCTTCTTCTTCTCCTCCTCTGTCTACCCCTCTTGAGTTTTGAGGGTTCCGTTCTCTCCCCCGTCGCCCCATCCCCCCGAGATAGAGCAGATCTCCGTCGCCTCCATCGCCACGTCAGCCCCTCCCCTCCACTCTCTCCCCGTTGTCAAATCCTTGGGCGGGTCGGGATCTGATTCTGGCGGCCTATCCGTCGGCGTCGGAGTTGGTTAAGGGGATCGCGGCCGAGTGTGGGGTTGTTTTTGATGAGGTTGGTGGAGATCTTAGGAGTTCTAATTTGTGTTTTTTTGCTTTGTTTTGGGTGATTGACAGATTAGTTTGGGGGTTTAGGATTCGGGGACGGAGGGGTCGTAGTGGGCGGAGAAGGGGGTGGGCCGTGGGCGGTTGGGATTTGGAGGTAGCGGCGGAAGGTCTGGAGACGTGATTCTTCCTCTGTCGTGAAGGCATGGACGAGACGGTGTTGAGTTTAGCTGATCAAGAAGCAGACAACCACTCATAGATTGACTTTTTGGAGGGCCAGCGTCTCGTTGACTATGAAAGATCAGATCAACGCTCCTCTAGTTCTCTGATTTGAAGTCATTGCGCCGCAAATGTATCTGATGCACCGCCAATTATACAATAGACTGAAATTATTACTCATAATTATGTGTTACTTTTTTAACTTTTTTTTTCCAAAAGAAAAGTTTATTCTAGTAGGTCGTGTGAGTGTGATGATACATAGATATTAGTATTTTAGTCTGTATTGAGTAACATGTTCCTTTTTGCATGAGATCAGGATAACATGTTCCATTTTGTAATTTATTTGGTAAATATCATCAGAAACATGTTAACTTTCTTTGTTCGTTTGTTAAGTTACACTGGTAACATGTTAACTTTCACAGTTCGCTTGTTAACTATAATACGTATCATGTTAACTTTAATTGGTAAATTGATAATTATATTCAGTAAAATGTTAACTATAATTCATTATCCGTTAACTGTTATTTGTAATCCATTATCCGTTAACTGTTATTTCAGGTCATATACACGTTAATATAGTTCTCATTTAACATGTTAACTATAATACATAGCATGTTAACATAATCCGTTAACACATTAAAATAGAACTATAATACGTAAATTGATAACTATAATACGTAGCATCTAACACGTTGTTGTTAAAACTTAATTCTCAGCCACGCTGTTGTTAAAACCACCTGGATCACTTAACATAGGTGTGATTGTTGTTAAAACCACCTGGATCACTTAACATAAGTGTGAATATGTGCTAATTCTTCTTCTTCACAAGAGTTAACATGTTATCCATAAGAGTTAACATGTTTGCCACAAGAGTTAACATGTTAGCAATAAGAGTTAACATGTTATCCACAAGAGTTAACATGTTATCCATAATAGTTAACATGTTAGCCATAAGAGTTAACAAATTAGCCACAAGAGTTAACATGTTATCCACAAGAATTAACATATTAGCCACAAGAGTTAACATGTTATCTACAAGAGTTAACATGTTAGTCATGGATTGAGCTCGATGATTTTAACATGTTATCTACAAGAGTTAACATGTTAGTCATGGATTGAGCTCGATGATTTTAACATATTATCTACAAGAGTTAACATGTTTAGTAATTTAATGTTAACTCTCTTTAATGTTAACTGTGAACCTCTGTTAGTTGCTTATTATGTTTGCATGTTTAGATGTTAGCTTTCATGTTTTAGATTTTAACCCTCCGTAACTTATTGCTTGCTATGTCATCGTTAGTGATAACAACACAATTACATACCCGAAACTACTGTATTTGCTCCATAGGGGAAGACTCGATGACAAAGTAATAGAGGTCATCTTAGATAGATTACGGCAATGGTTGCAGTTGCAGGAGAACGTTGCCTTAAACAAGCAGTATGGGATTGTATCTATATATTTCTGCGTAAGATCAATCCTCATATAATTAGTTAACATCTAAGCTCTTATAGTTAACATGTTAACCACAATAGTTAACATGTTAAAATAACCGTTAGTCACAACAATGAACATGTTAGCCACAAAAGTTAACATGTTATCCATAAGAATTAACATGTTATCCACAAGAGTTAACATATAGCCACAAGAGTTAACATGTTATCCACAAGAGTTAACATGTTA